CCCCCCCTCCGGGCCAGCTGTAAGCAGCCTCTGCCCGCGTGTCACCAGTGGCGGGTCTGTGTCACGTCTTCACTGCCCGTTTGGGTGGGGCAGAGAAGAGAGAGCCTGGGGACAGGGTTTCCGTGAACAGAAGCGTTTGCCCTCTCCCGTGGTGTGCCCTGGCCTTTCAGGAGGCGCCCTCTCGGCAGCGAGGACGAGGGGAGGGCCTCGCACCCATGACCTTCCTCTGCTCTTTGACAGGAGAGGAGACACCTGCCTTTGAGTCAAGCCAGGGAACGAGGCCTGCACATTGATTGGCACTCCGAGCCTTGCCCAGGTCTGTTCAGCTGTTGGCAGGAGTATGGGGTCGCTGAGGCTGGCTGTGGGTCCAGGTCACATGGCCACTGCCGAGTCCCCACTGTGTGCCACGACCACAGGGGCCTTGCACAGTGACACACAGTGAGCAGCTTCCGTCACCGAGAACCTGTCGTGTGCGGGACCTGTCCTGAGAGGGACTCGCGGTGGCTCGAGCGAACCTGGCCGCCCCCGTGCTAGCGTGAGGACACGGCTTCAGGGCTAACTCAGCCGCTTCCGTGGGCTCTGGCTGACCGGCTCCCCCGTGCCGTGCCGTGCTGTGCTGTGCTGAGCAGTGGGTCCCGGGAGACCTGCCTGCGGTTCCATCCTACCCCGGGCAGGCAGACGGCGACCCCGTCTCTGGTGCGCCCCCTCTGTGTCTCTCGCACTCGCTGTCTGCCCTTCCTCATTTCTAGCCACCTTCTGCCTCTCGTGGGTGTTCACGAGGGGGCAAGGTACGTGAGGGGTTCTGACAGGTCCGGTGAGGCGTGAGAGGCAGGTGTCCCGAGGTGGGTGACGGGCCAGGCCTTCCTGCTCCGCGCTCGCAGACGGGAGGCAGGTGCGGGCACAGGGCTGGTCTGGCCTCCCTGCTGCTGACGGGGCCTGGGCCTTGCTCGGCCTGGCCCAGCCATGAGCGACTGACTTCCACTTTGGATGCAGCGAACATGGAGGGGCTCTTTGGTGGAAGTCCTCCGAGGGTGAAGCGAGGGACGTGTCACAACCTCGAAAGGCCAGAACCCTGTGGCAGTTGGAGACCGGCGCACAGGGGCCGCCTGGCACACACAGCACTTTGTGCCGGCAGCAGGCCAGGCCATGGCCTCCTGGCCGGGGCGCAGACCCGTGGCGTGAGCCCAGCGGCCTGTGGAGAGCTGGCCCCAGAGCAGCTGCAGAAGCCCGTGCAGGAAGCCAGGGGGGAGTCAGGTCCCGGCCGCAGAAGCCTCCACACTCCTGGGCTCTGGGACCCGCTGCTCAGGCTCCTCCCTCCGGGGCCCAGCGTAGCATGTGGGCCTGTCCTCTCCGGCAAGGGGACGCTCGGACCAGGAGTGCCTCGGTGACATCGTTGCAGTTCTCTGCCGAGGGACCATAGGGGCTTGTCATCCAGATGAGCACAGTGCACGTCACGAAGGAGGGTCGGGCCTGTGTTGGAAGGAGACAACGGGGAGCCGACGGGCAGGAGCGACCGAGCAGGGACAAAGGCTGTTGCCAGCGAACTGGGGAGCTGTTCCCGCTCTCCTTCGCCCCTGCGAGACGGCGCCCTGGGGACCATGGTGTCCTCCCCGAGCTCAGGGCCTGGTAGGCCAAGAAGCCCCGTGACAGAAGCGGGGAGACGGCACGGCTGGGCGTGGCACTTCGGTGGCTGCTGGCCTTGGCTCAGAGCCCCGGGGCACGTTCTGTCTGAAGGCGTCAGCGTCGTGAAGTGGCGCGCACCCGCACACCCAGCAGCCAGCCTACGCGGCTTCCCGTCCGTCCCGCAGCAGCGCCAAGCACCGGCGGCGGATGTCCCACGGCCCTGGATCGGGGCTTCACGGCCACCGGCCTTCGCACTTGTCTGAGTGCCCACGGGCTGTCGCTCGCGTCACATCTTTGAGCTGACCTGAGCCTTTCTGCGAAGTCTTCATTTAGGGTCGTCCTCACGTGGGCACCGAGGACGAAGCCAGGTCTCTCCCAGGCGGGGGCCGGGCTGGGCCGGGCGGGGTCGCCAGGGTGGTGAGAGACAAGCGGCTGCAGGAGGCCTCCTCCGCGGGCTCCCAGTTCCTCTGTGAGGCGACTCCGGAGTGACGGGGGGAGGCAGCAGAGGGACATGGTGGGCGGGCCTGCCTCGCGTCGGCTCTGACGGCCGAGCTTCCTCCCGCAGTGAAGCCCACGTTCCTCGGGACCCGGGTCTTCGAGGACTACGACCTGCACAAGCTGGTGGACTACATCGACTGGAAGCCCTTCTTTGACGTCTGGCAGCTCCGGGGCAAGTACCCCAACCGAGGCTTCCCCAAGATATTCAACGACAAGACCGTGGGTGAGTGCAGGGCCGAGCTGGCGTCAGGCATGTCTCCACTCAGCCGGTGAGGTGGCATGCATGCTTCCGCCCTGCTGGGTGGGCCTCGTCTGTCACCAACGTCGGCCTGCCGGTGATGGTTTGATGAATGGTTATTGACCCCAGTTCATACTGGGCTCTCCTAGGTACCAGGGACAAACCAGTGGGGACAGCCCAGTCTGGCCACCCAGTCCTTAGCGAGCTGCATAGCTGACCCAGCAGCCACACACTGTCCCCACAGGCCCAGTCCTTACTCCTGCGGACACAGCCTGGGAGGTCAGGGCAGGCTTCCTGGGGGAGGAGGTGTTTCAGCTGCTTTTTTAAAAGTTTGTTTCCGGGGTCAAGAGGTAGTAGTGTGCTTAAGGTGCTAACCTCCTGCATGACTGACTGTGGTTCAAGTCCCGGACCCCATGACTTGAAACTCACGCTGGGCATGTGTGCGTGTCCACCCTACCTCCCAGAGGAGAGTGGACAGGAAGGGACTGCAGTGTGGCCATTCCCCAGAGGCGGTTTCTCACTCACTCTCTCCAGTGAGTGCATGTGGCAGATACCTTTCTAAAAACAAGGTTTATGGGGCCCAGCAGACGGCGTAGTGGTTACGTGACTGCAGTTCGAGTCTCGGACCTGGTGGTCTAAACTCATGCTGGGCGCATGTGCGGGTGAGTGAGTGCCCAAGATCAAGATCCCGAGAGGAGAATGGAGGAGAAGGGATTGCAGCATGGCCAGCCCCCTGGGGCTGATTTCTCGCTTTCTGTCTCTTTCTAGCGAGCACATGTGCCCTATAGCAAAAAAATCTCTAAAAAAAAAAAAAAAAAGGCTCTTTTCACTGGGTGACGGCGAGG